AAGGACGGAGCTGTGGGTGAAGGAGTGAGCTGTGGTTGAAGGAAGGAGCTGTGGGTGATGGAGAGAGCTGTGGATGAAGAAGAGAGCTGTGGGTGAAGGAGAGAGCTGTGGGTGAATGATGGAGCTGTGGATGAAGGAGGGAGCTGTGGATGAAGGAGAGAGCTGTGGGTGAAGGAGAGAGCTGTGGGTGAAGGAGGGAGCTGTGGGTGAATGACGGATCTGTAGTTGAAGGAGAGAGCTGTGGGTGATGGAGAGAGCTGTGAGTGAAGGAGGGAGATGTGCATGAAGGAGAAAGCTGTGCGTGATGGAGAGAGCTGTGGATGAAGGAGGAAGCTGTGGATGAATAAGAGAGCCGTAGATGAAGGAGGGAGCTGTGTTTGAAGGGGAGAGCTGTTGAGTAAGCTGAGAGCTGCGGGTAATCGGGAGAGATATGGGAGAAGGAGAGTGATGTGGGTGAAGGAAGGAGCTGTGGGTGATGAAGAGAGCTGTGGATGAAGAAGAGAGCTGTGGGTGAAGGAGAGATCTGTGGGTGAATGAGGGAGCTGTGGATGAAGGAGGGAGCTGTGGGTGAAGGAGAGAGCTGTGGGTGAATGAGAGAGCTGTGGGTGAAGGAGGGAGCTGTGGCTGAAGGAGGGAGCTGTGGGTGAAGGAGAGAGCTGTGGGTGAATGACGGAGCTGTGGGTGAAGGAGAGAGCCATGGGTGAAGGAGGGAGCTGTGGGTGAAGGAGGGAGCTGTGGGTGAATGAGGGATCTGTGGGTAAATGAGTGAGCCGTGGATGAAGGAGAGAGCTGTGGGTGAAGGAGGGAGCTGTGGGTGAAGGAGAGAGCTGTGGGTGAAGGAGGGAGCCGTGGTTGAATGGGGGAGCTGTTGGTCGAGAGAGTTGTGGGTGAAGGAGGGAGCTGTGGGTGAAAGAGGGCGCTGTGGATGAAGGAGAGAGCTGTAGGTGAAGAAGAGAGCTGTGAGTGAAGGAGGGAGCTGTGGGTGAAGGAGGGAGCTGTGGGTAAATGAGGGAGCTGTGGGTGAATGAGGGAGCTGTGGTTGAAGGAGAGAGCTGTGGGTGAAGAAGGGAGCTGTGGGTGAAGGAGGGAGCTGTGGGTGAATGAGGGAGCTGTGGGTGAATGAGGGAGTTGTGGGTGAAGGAGGGAACTGTTGATGAAGGAGAGAGCTGTGGGTGAATGAGGGAGCTGTGGGTGAATGAGGGAGTTGTTGATGAAGGAGCTGTGAGTGAAGGAGGGAGCTGTGGGTGAACGAGAGAGCTGTGGGTGAAGGAGAGAGTTGTGGGTGAAGGAGAGAGCTGTTGATGAAGCAGAGAGCTGTGGTTGAATGAGGGAGCTGTGGGTGAAGGAT